TTATGTGAATCGATCGCAACATTGCTATCAATTTCTTCGGATCGCAAATCTCGGCCTCAAAGCGGAACTCATCGTCCGATTCGCTCGACATATCACTGATGGACACAATCTGTGGTCACAACTGATGTCTTGTATTGTCTGATGTATTGTTTGTCTTCACTCTAACGGATACTTCACTACAAATGTGTCCACAATTTGTGTCACAATTTTGGCAATAATTCAAAACAAACTGTTTTTAGCGGTAATACTGTTGTGTTGGATGTTATGTACAGTCTATCATAGCTATTGGTAACACAACTTTTACACAATAATGTTATTATATTGTATTTAATTGTGGTCTTCAATTGCAATCCTATTGTAATGTAAAGTTATTATAATATTAAATAAATTACATTCAATTTTATTGATTACTAAATTAATTATTTAATAATTATGAAAACACATAATCGTGTATAGTCTGTATATTTACAATTGTAGAGTACAGTACATGTAATTGTTTGCTGTTGTCGTGACAACCGATACGTTTGACTCAAGCCGTGAAGACAACAGCATTGATGAGAGAGTTGTCGTAATTTATGACTCAATGACTTAACAATTGTTTTGTTCGTCTCATTGAGTGCTGAAGACGTGAACTGAAGACTAAACAAGTGATCAATTGATTGATTAAGTGATGAGCGAAGAGTTGGATGAGACGATCGGCGATCAGTCGGTGCCGTTCGGGAACGGGACGGACGTCGGGGTCGGGAATGGCGTGAATGGCGTGAATGGTGTGCCAAACGGCACCTCAGGTGACAAAGAGAAGACATTTGTGCTGAAGAAGTGGAACTGCTGTGCGATGTGGTCGTGGGATTGCGAGTGCGACACGTGTGCCATATGTCGGGTGCAAGTGATGGACGCGTGTCTTCGGTGTCAGTCCGAGAGCCGATCGGACGACTGTGTGGTTGTTTGGGGCGAATGTAACCACTCTTTCCATAACTGTTGTATGAGTTTATGGGTTCAGCAAAACAATAGGTGTCCGCTCTGTCAGCAGGACTGGACTGTTCAGCGCATCGGCAAATAGTGGCCACACATTGTCAGCACAACTGGTCACCTCTTCCTACACCCCTTCCCCACCCGTTTGGACACTATTTGTCATTACATATGGAAAACACAATTCAATGACATTTATATCGTTGATTAAAATGCAAATCAAGTTTAAGTTTTAAAGTTTTATTTATTAATTGCATAAATTGTGTGCATTTTCTTCAATCCAAACCATATAATGAGTTAATAATGAGTTTTAATGTATTGATTATATTATAAGTAGATTTATAATAGAATTATAAGTAAATAATTATTTCTTTTGATTTAAATATTGATTAATACTTTCGGCGATTTTATCAAACGC